AAATGTAAGAATGAACAGTGTCCTGTTGGATGAAATACTCTTCCAAGACATTTTTTTTCTTTTAAAAACATGACAAAGGATGATCTGATCTATACGTTTATTGACTGATAACCAGTTGAGTGAGCAAATGTCATTTGGATTAATATGTGACCTAGTATCAAGATCAAGTACAAACCTAATCATCTTATTCTGAGTCACTTGAAGTTTATTTTTAAGGAATTGGGGCAGGTCAAGATACCATATTGAACAACAGTAATCAAAATGACATTGGATAAAGGACATAACTAGACTAAGTAGTTTCTTAGTATGTTGAGTAAGGTTATCTTTTTTGAGCTATAAATTTTTCAAGCGTGCATTTGCCTTCTGCATTACTGACATAGCCATTGCATCTAAATATAATGATTGATCCATGGTTGCTCAGAGATATTTCACCGACGAAGTTGGTTTAATAACTGTGTCATTACATTCAATATTATGGGATGACCCAAATAAGATTGACTCAGTCTTGTCTAAATGTAGTGATAATATATTACTCCCCTATAATTTTTTGGTCCTCGATATTACCTTCCTTGGTTATTTTTGAAACAATACCATCTTCCCATGTTGTTGGATATTCTCCAGTAGAAAATAAACGACTGAATAATTGAAGTGTAAATGCTAATGCTATTTCAAACAAATGTTTAAATATTTCAGCATAAATTTCATCAAGGCCTGCACTGTTATTATTATTTTGAGAAAACGTAGCATTTTTTAATAAATTAATATAAGTTTTTTCTTAATTTAGAAAATGGTCTAAATTACTTGCATTCACATTTTTATTTTGCAAGTTATTTTGATTTGAGCCAAATAATTCTTCAAATGACTGTAAAGGTCGTCTACAGTTAAAAAAAAACGTTTGACTTTGTTGAATCACGTTGAATAATATTTTATCTAAAATTTATACTAAAATGCTAATAGCTAGACTTACTAAGTGTGCAGACGAAAATTTATCATGATAAGATAGCCAATATGGTTTTCAAAAATCTAAAGTTTACGCATGATTGTGTTTTCATTCTTCATGCTATTATGTTGAAAACATTATCAATGAAAAAGAAACTGTATGTAACATTCTAAGATTGGGAAAAATGTTTGATCGGATAGATCAAGTAATGTTGTGGCAAAAATTAATTACTGCGAACGTAAGCACTAAACTTATTACAGCTTTTTAAATCCATGACGTACTAAGTTGAAAATCTGTAATCCGATATAATTCTACGAATTCAGATCCCATAACATCTTTCATTGGAGTAAAACAATGGAACCCAGATAGTAGCATACTCTGTCTTTTTTCCTTAATGATATTGTAGAAAATATTAATAGTAACTTAAATGGTATTTTAAGTATTGATAAAGTTAAAGTTTTTTATTATTGATCCCTGATGACGGTGCATTATTTGCTTATGACCCTCAATCTCTACAATCAATGTTAAATGATGTACATACTTACTGTAATACATGGAGACTTCGATTAAACGTCAGTAAATTAAAAATAAAAATAATGATATTTGAAAACGGTCGTCATACATCATATGACTTTTATATATGTAACTCGCATATTGACATCGTTCAGTCATTTAAATATCTTAGTGTTCATTTGTTTAAAAACAGGATTGGAATCACACGCATCAGTGAATCGCTCAACATGCTCAGTTTTCTCTTCACAACTTATTCATTGTTTACCAATTAAAAATACTTGTATCCCAAAAATTTGTCTTATTGAATATTCTTTTGTAATGTCTACTCTTAATTATTGTGCGGAGGTATGGGGTCATCACGCGAGATTGTACATACGAAATTGTGTAGGAAAGTTTTATGCGTAAGTCGCTCCACAAACGTTGATGCTCTATTCGGCAGAATTGGGGAGGACACCAATGAATGTGTATCGAAAAATTATATTGATAAAATACTACTATTTAAAACTGTTAATATGTTATTAAGGGATGCTTAATTAGGAAATACATATATCGGTAATAACTAGGCCAGTCAGATAAAAGCAATACTTTATAATCACGGTTTAATGTATTTATGGCAAAATCTATTTAACGTTCAAATTAACGTAAATATGATTAAGCAACGGATACAAGATGTGTTTTATCAACAATGGTGCACATCAATAGATAAATCTTCTCGTCTCGAAACGTACTGTTTATTTAAGCATGAATATAAATTAGAAAGTTATCTCGACTTTATACAGTTATCTCGACTTTATACAGGAAGCAAAATTCAGCATATCTTAAACAAAATTTCGTAGTACATCTTCACAAGATTTGGCAATAGAACGCGGACGCTACATAAATATTCATAGGACGAAGAGAATTTGTTTAAATTGTAATTCGAATATGATCGAAAATGAATATCCTCTTTTACTTATACAAATGTATGTCCAAAATTTAGAGAACTACGTTAAAAATATTCAAAACGTTATTTATACCTGGCCTACCTTACAAAAATTCAAAATCTTGTTAAGGGAAACTAACTGGCACACTATTTAGAATCTATTTAAATTTATATACTATGCTTATATACTGAGAAACTAACAAACATTCTCCAATAATATAAGATCTTCAAAAAATCCTTGACAATATGTCGTCTAAACATAAGTAAAACCCATAAATTTCCATTGTATTTCATGTATTGTTTGCTAAAATATGTTACATGCTTTATGCGATAAATATATTGAATTTACTTTAACAGCTGGTAGTTGGAAATTCACTCGACTGTTACCAGCATGAAATGTTCGCACATATCATACTGTTTTTAAAACACAGAATAAAGAGGGTACCAAGTTGGTTACTCGCGCGAATCCCAAACCTTTTGTGACGACACCCCACTTTTAGATACAATGTATGTAGAAATAAAGTAAGTAAATAAATTGTTTATTATAGTGACATATACATGATAACAATACATACAAAGACTCCCGACCCAGGGGACCTTTAAGTCACCTTAGTTTATATGCACAAATAAAAAGACTGTGAATAACACATAGCTTTGCAAACAGAACATTTTTGGCCGAAGGGTAACTTAAATCAGTTTGACTGCCTGTTATACTTACAATGAAGAACTGAATATAAGAAGAATTTCCATGGGTCAATCTAAATTTCAAATGGAAGTCCGGGAATCACACTGGTCATTATAAAAAGAGTTTTTGCCATTCTATATGAAATTTTAAGAGTAGTTCTAAAAAAATGGGGATAATTCTTGCCATTATGATATAAAATGTAAAGGATAGTTCTTAAACAAAATGCTAAGGATGGTTCTTTATCTGTCTAGTTAAATTGATGAGACATTAAAGTCCTGTTTAAACATACTTCCTCCCACAAAACGTTTTACACTCCGTTTAGATCTCATTACATTTTCTAGCAAACAATACATTTTACCCAAGAACCTTCTGAGCTTATTTAACACTATAGCTTACTGTCAGATTTTTTAATTTTGTCCAAATTACGAGACCCCCTAATAATGTTCTCGATCCTGTTATTTTACTCATGGACATGAAAATATCCAAAACAGTTCAAAACACACGCTAAAAAATTCGAACTTATCAGGTACGTTCGATAAGTGTCCATGGCCAACATATGATATGATCATTTGTGTGTTCAATTGATATATTGCAATGTTTATAATTTGCATGTATTTTGCCAGTATTTATAAATATAATTCAATTGCCGACCGACTACATAGAATGTTGGTGTCATAAATTGAGTTCGCTTACCGAAACACGGCGGGTTTATTTATTTACAGTGTTTCATTTTTCATGATTAGTAACTCCATTGATTAATCTGTCATAGTAACAAAATTAATTTTACAAAAGAAAGTTTTCTTACGATTTGTTTTTTCGTTTTTTTTTCAGTATTTTTCAGTATTTCCCTATGTACATGTTGCAAATCCGTGGATTTTTTATATCAACAAAACGTTCCTTTTTAAATTTTTGATTAAACTGTAATTGTTAAAGTATTTTTTTTAAATCTAAAATTACATCCAGTATATAAAAGATAATCAATTTACATTGAGAGTAAAAAATGAACTTTAACGAAATTAATGAGCAGAAAGACAATGTTCTATTTGTATGTGGAGTTATATTTGGCTTCATACACAAACTTTCACACAATTAATGCGTTGGGTGTGGTTATGAACCACTTCTAGGTCATTCGTCAGTTATCATAATTGTTATTGTTTGTGAAACGGAGACCGGTTTACAAGGTTTTTCAAAGCTGTTTATGTAAAATAAGAGATAAACTTTTATACGTAATTTGTTGGTTTTACTGTATCCATTATCCTTTCATTTTCATATGCGTTTATTTAAATAATACTGTCCATATTGCATATCACAAAATTTATAAAGTCAAACGAACAAAACAAGAAATAGGAACATATAAATAAATACTGTAAAGTAGTAGTTGTCCTACTTTGAAGAGACATCAATAATATTATCTTTACTCAAAAAAGATGTTCAACCAAAGTGAAACTGGTTAATTTCTAAGTTTAGTTTTCGATACATATAGAAATGTAAGTAATGCTTGCATAACAATGACATTATAATTCCTGGCTTAGAAAACAAAAACCCATTTTGTTAAGAAAGGCATTAAATTATAAGCATATTAATATTTTATTTGATTTTCATTCTTATTACATATTGCATTTACTGTTTAAAATAGAAATTACGATACCTATTACAGTTCTATTATCTGATTACTCATTCACGTGGGGATAGAAGAAGAAATTATTTTCCAGCAGCTGTGCAGACTTCAAATTCCGATATGCTTAAATATAACAAAGTATATATTTCCTAGCAATCATATGATCAACACAATATGTTACCATTGTTCACGTCAAAAGAAAATTCCAATAAAATTAAAACAAAAGATGCGAATGTTACATTTGTTGCTTAATTCAAAGAAAACATATTTGGCAACACACGTTCGAGTCATATTTAAAGAACAATTGGGGTACTAGGACACTCGATTTCATGCGCATGCGCAGTTGTGCACAGGGTAAGCAATTGTATTTAAGTCCAACTGACACGAAGCTCGTTTCAAAATCGTTTCCTTGGCTAAGATATTCTGTTTTGATTTTTGGAACTGTTGTCATTATGGGAAAGAACCTTAAATGCGCATTGGTGAGTTTTTTCTATTGTGGTTTAATATTTATCATTTTTTTTAATTTTTAATTTGAATATGATCTTATTAACAATTACAGCATGTTGTTTCAAGCTTGCATATCATAAAGATATACAACGACGCGTTTTGAAACATTTTCTTTTCTTATTTTTTAAAAAAATATCATCTGATTATACATACATCTATTATCCTTGATTTTTGTAATGCTTTATTATGTCAGATTTTTGAATGCATCTATAAATAATCGCATTTTCATTTTCTTGGAACTAATTTGCAGAACTGTTAATTTAACATTAATAGAATGGCTATATGCCTTTTAATCATTCGCGTATCTGAACCTTCCCCCCCCCCCCCAAAAAAAAAAAAGATTTTTTTTTTCATAGATAATTCTTCTCTTATATATAACATTTTATATTATATTAATAGCATTATTATATTTATATCAATTATTTATACAATGGGTAAAAGACTGGATTTTATCGGAAAGTGAACCATGAAAGACAAAAAAAAACAAAAAACAAAAAAAACAAAAAACACTTTATGTGTCACTGTCAAAAACCATTGACAATTCTACTGGTCTCATTTACTATTGTATTAAACCAATCGTCTTAGCATTGGTCCATGTGTACCATCATAAAATCTAACCGCTTCACTATTCGAAAAACAGGGAGAGCGTTTGTACTTATTTGGGGTCGGTGATGGCGTAGGCGTTGCCTTCACACTTCGGTAGAGTGTATGCGTGCACACTGATAGTCCAAGTTGAATCTTCTCACTTTTTGTATTTGAGGGCATAATAGGAGGTCCAACTAACTCTAACATAGATTTTGACAGAAGTATTGCCCTTTTTAAACAAAGAAATTTCTTCATTATTTTAATCAAACGCTAAAAATAGTCGAACATGCTGTCCTTCCGACAAATTTTTGTTTGTTTTTATTTACAGTTTGTTTTGTGTATATCCATCATCATTCAAGTTATGAATGCTGACTCTGACGAGGAAATAACCTGCACGAGTAATGCTGACGTATGTATTGCGCATTGACTGATATAAATAATACATCTAATAAATATTAGCCATCCGAATTTTTATTATGTATGTAGTTTATGATAATTATTTTAGTGTAAACAATTCAAGCCATGTTATTTAACACATTGCTTATGGTTAATAACATCATGTGTCCACACCATGAAATGCTAAATTGTATTGTGCTATAGGCATTGTATTTACATACTTTATGCAATAAACTTTGAATTGTATTTACGAATGTTAGCTTTGACTTTGACAAAAAGTTACCTTTATTATATTTTAAATTTTAAAACATACTCCTATGATGAAATAGTGACAGGCATTTGATTTGATTTTATTGGCCAACCTAAACATAAAATTAATATCTAAGTTTGGAATGCAAACTTTCACTTTCTTGTAAGAGTTTTTAACAACTTTTCTAAATGATTACATTTTGGAGACTCATGGAGAGATCGACTAAGAAGTGAGAGATAGAAATGCTGGCGATTAGGCCATCACTTCATCACTTCCCTCACGAACTTCTTCCGTCACGACATTGTTTCATCATTTATCACTTTAATCCCTACATTACATCAGTTACTGTCTCTTGAGATTCTAAACTTTGCTTTAAAATCAGATGCTTATGAATAATTATGACTTCTTTTTTTTATTTCATCGCAGTGTCCGGCGAAACACATCTGCCATGGTGAACTAGGTCACTGTGAAGAATGTATGTTTAGAAATATGTCTCTTTTGATAGTATTCATTTAAATATATATTGAAATCATTTTCTGTAAAAGAATAGTAACTAAATATTTTTAAAAATGCAGGCATGTCAGAACACTTTCTATTGCAATTTATCTTTTTGTACGGCAAGCAGTATGTAAACTTGTTACTTTTTAAAACATTCGAAAATTTGTTTAATGTATTTCGTATTTGCACTTGTTTGTGATAGATCGGCGAAAAAATCACACCAATCTCTGCAAAATGGTAAAAACAAAAACATAGCAACCATTAGCCAAAAGCGCAAAATACAAACACCTGATTTATAAGCAAAAACGTAAACAAATCAATGACAAAATTACGTATGTATGTCAAAATGAAGATTATTAAAAAACGAAGAAAATCCATTAGATCAAAAATACGAATTTATGATTTATATACAAATATACCCCGGTACCGCCGTAAGCAGTTACCCTCGAGCTAGATATTCCGGTCTGTACAGGCAGCCGTTGTAAGATCTTTTTATGATTACATCCGTTTCTAGTGGTCTATCTACATGGTCTGGAAGCGCATCAGTTACACGATTGAACGCCCTCGTAATGTGAATGAAAGAAGTATAATTCTCATTTATTTTGCTTTTTTCAGGCCTCTGTAAAAAGATAAGCCAATGTGTGATAGAAAATGATCACACCACTAAATGTGAATGTGACGATTCTCAATTCACTGGCAAGTTCTGTAATGAGACAAGCGCGTCCAAGTAAGAAATGCAGCAAGTGACGATGAACTAGTAAACACCTGATGACCAGATATCTTCTTATAAACTTTTTCACTGGTTAATTGGATTTTACTAGAATTGTATATCATAAATGAATTGTTGGACGAAAGACATTGTTCATCATGAACTTTCGTAGGCTTGCTTGAGATGAGAATATTAAATGTATTTCTTTTGGACAAATAAAAGAAAAGTCAAAATGAACAAAGTCTGTTTTTTTTATTATTGTAAATGTAATAAATATACAAACAGTATATAAAATAATAACAAAAGGGACTAATATAGAAACATTTACTATATTACATGCATTTGTTTTCATGTCAAATTTACACACAAAAAGTTTCTCCTAATACCTGGGACTTAAGATAAAGAGGTTATATTTCAAGTCCCAGATAAATAACGAAAGTAGAACACACATTTTACGGAACGTCGGTGGTTCTACTCAGGTGCCCGTTCGTGCCTGAAAAAATGCATCTGAGGTCTTCCTACACCAGTAAAGCTGGAACGTCGCCATATGACCTATTCTCCGTCGGTGTGACGTAAAACTCAATGAATCAAACAAACAAAAGAACTTACACTTGAATAAAAAAATTTGGGATCAATTTCAAAAAAGACCAAATTCAGGATTTTTTGTTATACGCGTTAACAAGAATAATGGTACATAAAAATGAGAAATGAATTTGCATGGCATGTTGATATGGTGAAACATTATTTATCATTAAAATGGCAGACAGTTACCTGAATTTTAGACTGGTGTGAAAAAAATTCAATTACACCATGTTCCTGCGAGTCAAAGGTATAAAAGCAACTTGACATTGGTGATAAATAAAGAGCAATTGTTAATTGATTTATTGGGAAATCAATCAACTATTTTGTTGCATTCCTTAACAATTCTCGTCTGACCCAATAGTGTGTTTATATTCCTATTTATAAACCCGTAATACCTCGTACGTGAGTTTCTGTTGAAAAAAAGTCAAAGTTCTCGGAAAATCAACATTCCATTCAAACCACCATAAACTCGATTGCCTTGAAACAAATAGAACAAAATAGAATTAACTTCTTACAGCACGGGCGACCGTTTCGTATCTAAAATCAATAAACAAAAACTACCCTTTCACCAATTGGAACATGCTCGACTAAGACTGACCGAAAGAGCCGAAAAGTTGCGATTGCCCCTTCACAAAATCTGAATGCATTCCATAAAGGTCGTCGCGTTTCAGCGCGGACGCCAATAATTTCAAATATTCTTATGGAAAAAATACTACTGTCAGAGAGTTACTACTGTCAGAGTTGATCCAAAACTTTGAGCAACTGGTAAGTAGTGAATAAGTATTTTGTATGACAGTCAAAATACTACTTTGTTTACATTTTGCTACATTTACGATACATAACGGCATTTTCAGTGCTGCTTTTTTCATTTGTTAAGCATTTAACATTCTCCTAATTCATTATTTAAACAATATTAAACATATTTTGACATTTCTAACGAATTTAAAATCTATAATGTATTTCTGAGGCATAATGTGCCTTTTAGAGAAAGAGTCAAAAACGAAACGACTATGTGGTGATTGATCGATGTACTCGTATACTTCACTTAAATACAATACTAGTCCATTATTCGAAAAGTTAGAAAAGTTATTTGAATATATGTGATAAAAAACTGTAATTATCAAATAAGGTATTAAATCTTTAGCAAAAAGTTACCCGACGTTACATTGTTTGTCTATATAATAATATTAATATGAGATATAAATACATGTACTACTTAATGATCAACATAATTCTTTTTTGTCCATCACATAGCAGTATTTTCAAATTTCTGTTAACTTTGGTTAATATGTACCAACTATATTAAATTTAGTTAATCAGGTCCGTCTAACAAGCTTACTAATTTCAATAATGCATTATATTTAGTTATACTCGTATTAAGGAGGAGTTAGAGGTATGGTTTATACTCTGAAATGTAAAATATGAAGGAACCATATAAATCCGGTAAAAATCATAATAAACTGTCATAAAATGAAGCTGTTGTATATATGTACTTTATATAAAAATATAGATTAATGGAAATGAACTTGCAACAAACCAGTTATCAAATCAACGAAGAATAACGTTTTATCAAATTACAAATTACATAAAATTAAAATGTGTATAAAAAGCAAACTGTAAAGCTCTTTTTCGACAATCATTAATAAGATAGGCGATATATCACCGAGACTAGTACTATAGTTCAATTTCCCTTCAATGGAAATTTTCTTTCAATCTTTTACATGCAACACCGTTCTAACAGAATTTGGAACGTAAAGCAATATGAGCTCCTATTGGGCTCTTGGGCACCATTTATATTGACTATACGTTAATTTTTAACTGTTATATCTCCCCTGGATAATCAACAAACATATCCTGAGTGGAAATTGCCATCACTTGAATATAACTTGGAATATCCTGGGTTAAATCTGCAGCACCCTGGTGACTTTTGGTAGTTTAAAGTCAAAAGTTATTTCTTTGGTTTCATAAAAAAGAAGATCTGGCAGGAATTCCAAAAAATCTGATTTTTAAATTAAATCAAATAACTCGTTACTGTCCATTTGTTTTTGCTTGAAAAATAATGTCGATCATTAAATAGGTTCATGTTAAATAATACGCATTAATAACAAAAACAAATTGGTCAGGCGTGCCACAGGCACGCGAACAATAATTCTATTAATGGTATTATTTAACATTAACCTATTTAATAAACACTAAAAAGGAAAGAATATTGCATATTGATTGTAGAGAAAAACCTGACATAACGTAAACGTAATCGGATCAAAATATACAGTAAAAAGCAATGCAAACAACAATAACAGAAAGTAAAAATAGCAAAAACAACGTCATTTTGTCACTTCACTACAGCTTATCAACAAAACATTTTTTTGTATAAATCGCAAAAGTAAGAAACATGATTTTCTAGCACTCCCGTATGTTAAGTTCAACAGCATGTCTATTAGAATACCTCTTGCTGAATTAAAAAAGTAAAGGAATTCAAAAGGAAAGGAAGCTAAAGATACAAATATCGACATATCTGATTATAAATATGAAACATTTTAGATCCCGGACGTATAGGTCTATCACACTAGTGCAATTTACTTCTAGAAAGGTTTTGCAGAAATCGATTTATTTTTACATTAACGTTGGCGTTTACGTTGATACAATTGTGCCAGTTGTTTGCTAACTAGTTTACAATGATTTTTAAAGGGAGAGTATATGTTGATTATATTTATAATAATTTATTCTTATTAGTTCCCTTGCTCTTTCAGAGTACTGTCAAATAGCTCATTTCTTATTAAAACTATAATAATCTGTACCAAATGGTATATAAGATTAAATTGTCTTGTGTATTTTACTTATAGTATTTTCAACACCTTTTTTTCTCCCTCTCTATTCATCATTTAGTATATAAAGTATATAAAGAATTTATTTAGTACCTTAAAGCTTATAGACGTGCGAGTTCAAGAGTCCGTTCCTTGAAGAAACCAGTATGAAAATTCTTGTTCAGCAAAACAACGACTTGTTCTTGGCAGGATTTTAACCAGCTACGTTAGCGATCCTTAATTTTTCTAAGTTTCTTAAATTTATCTTGCCACGTTGTCGCGATTTATTCGTGTTATATTGAACTTTGTTCTATTCTGGATAAAATAATAAAACTTTTTTTTTCGCCATGACACTATGTGTATCCCAACGATCTGAGTCAAGCTTTGTATGAGCGGCGCCGTATTCCAGTTGTAACACGATGGATCAGTATTCCAGAGGTCACAGGACCGATCATCTACTCTACAACCTGCAATACAAATAGTGTTTTCATGAGACTTTAAAATAGCGAGGCTTCATTAATCTACACTGGGAAAGTAAGAGAACATTAATCTGCACTTGAATGATCCAACAATAGCTATATTCATCCACTACCTCTTAAATGTCAGGTTTTCCTCCAGGGGCGTCACATATATGATGTTTAGTACAGATGGTAAGCAGTAATAGCTTGAGTATGGTACATGTAACGTGTATTGTAACCGTGTGGTTGATTATCTTTTTTTATAGAATAATGCTTTAAAATTAATGACTACAAATAGATGTGGCTGTAACATGTTTTTTTAATCGAAGTTTTATTGTACATCTTAAGAACAATACAAATACTTCACGACACAAAAACATTTTGTTGTTGTAGCTTTCTGTTATCTTTTTAATTGCTACCATTGTGGAAATATGAATTTATGCTATCAATAAGAAAGTTAATAATTTATTTTTCATAGACATAAATTAGTAGTATTAATAAGATGTCGGGGTTAGTTTTACTTTTCTTTCTTATACGTTTAGTCTTAATTATATATCGCTGAAACTTAGTGTTATTTCCCATTCTTATGTTAGTGATACGTCCTAATTGAAGATGTTTCAGGTTAAAACGTATTGAGCGTATTCAAAAAAGGTTGTTATTCTACTCTGTTTATCACAAACATGAATTGTTACAATTCAATGTCAGTTCATGACAAAGAAAACATATGATGCTAAGTTCATAACATTTACAAACAAATCATCATTTTATGTACACTACACTACCACTACTCGGATTACGTGTTTCTATATTGCAATAAAAATGCAAAGTGTCATAACTGAATAACTTGCACAACCCATTATATCATAATGGTACGACCGATGGATGAAAACGTTATCGCGTTCGACTTATGTTTCAAATAGTGATAAGTATTATATTGATAATTTAATAAAATACTACTTGATAAAGTTGTAAGTTATATATAAAGTATGAACATTTATATGCTCAATCCTAATACAGTTGTATTTTGTTCTTGAACAATTAATTGTAGCTATGTAAAATATGTAACATCTGGTCATGTTTTTTTGTTGTTGTTGTTTTTGTTTTTGTTTTGTTTGTTGAATTGATATTTTGATCATGATTATAAGTAAATACATCTATGTTTTCAATATTTTCTAAACATGAAAATTCTCGTTGGCAAAAAGTGCTACATTTCTATGCTCCCGTTGTCCGTCTGTTATGGTTGTATCATTATATATAATACGATTTCTTATTTAAAAGGATCACTTCAAACAAGTACATTAGTACTTAGTTGGCAAACAACAAGTTGCTGCACGTCTTTATAGGTTAACAAGTGCAACCAATTAATAGTACACATTTTATGTCAAGAATTACCACTT